TAGGACTCCATGGCGGGTGGGGTCAGTGGGCACTGAATCTTTCTCCTTAATTATGGATCCCCCAATCTAAATAAAAAATATGTTAAACTCTGCTAATCGGTAAACGACCACGCCTAGAAGACTCTGAATAGCAGTCTCCATCACAAATTACACCTGTACCTCACTGCCTAATCCTGCATTCACTGTCTGAAAAATCTTTAGGGCAAATGTCTCCCTTTTTTTATTCAGAGGGGCTTAACTAAACTGTTTTTATTTTGTTCAAGTACCATTTTGAAGGTTTATATGTACTTGTACGTATATCGCATATAGGCAATGAGTCCATTACTGTAGATGACCCAGTCTACCAAGCTTTGTTTGAGTTATCCAACTAGTTTACAGCTGTGCTGTCTATCATGTCATATCCATGATAGCTAGTGCAGTTAATTGTAATGTGTCAGAGTTTTGTGTATATATATATATATATATGGGCTGGGATTCTTCTACAGTAGGTGTCTGTGAGTCGTTAGTGATAAATTTCAACAAGAAACAGACAGCACATAATCCATTAGTTTTAAAATAATATATTCCAAACAAGTCAAACGTATGTACAAAAATGCTTTACACTATAGGATATCACAGTTTTTCAAAATCTAAATAGTTCTCTTTACTTGTCAAAAGTCCACGCAGGCTGATTCAATTACTTTAGAATCAAACTGACAAGAATTATTTTTACTTATTCTATTTTTTATTAAACAGTCTGCGAGAAATTCACTTACGTTAACTCGTGTGTTACCACAATTGCATCCAGAACTTTAAATAATTGTTTCATTTTCGTCAAAGTCCACACAGGAGGATTTAAATTATTTAAAACATTCTTCGACAAGACAAATTATTCTCCTCATTTCTGTTAAAACTTTAAAACTCACTTTAAAATATTACCCATTAAGGCTAATCACTCCCACTCAGGCTTATTTTTTTTTCTAATCTTACTGACCTTTACTTGACTTTCACAAACTTAATATTTTCTGACTAAACTTCTTTATAAGTTGCCCGTCACGGCTAACCTGCCAATCACTCATTCTATATCCGTCTAATTATCTCTCACTTGACTCGACTTTTCTGTACATTACTTAACTTGCGCTCGCTAGTCGCGCCACCTATATATTACTAAACATTAGTATATTAATCAACCTGCATACACAATGTACGACTGTCACTGAGTTATGTAACGAAATTTGTCACAACTGACTCTTTTGAAACGATCACCCTTTAACATGAAAACTAAACAGTCATTAAATATTGTCATAAAATAACTGAATAATAACACTTGTACTAAACAGACTTGCATATCTAATAATCTGACTGCTTTCCATCCACCACTGTTTGGTTTTTACACAAACAGAGCTTAGGTTCATTCTACTTTTTGCCTCAGGCCATACATTCACAGACACCACACTGTTATTCATTTTGAAACTTGCTATTCATATATTCAGTAAAGCTGAATGCTTTCAAAATGTTGTAATTTGTAAAATTGAAAATATTAAATCATAACCAAATAAAACACTGGGTAAATAAAGTTTATGTTTGGTATGGCACATAAACTATTGTCTGTGGATTTTAATATATAAATATTTTCACTCAATTATATATTTCAATACAATCGATAATATTCTTTACTAATCTTACCAAAAAGAATGGGTTCTCTCCAATGTATTGTGAGCTCACCTATTACTTTTATCTCTTTAATGAAAATCCTCTACCTGCCAAATACTTCACTGTCACAACCGAATATATTCTTTCACCACTATTGATGAAAATATTGGGTGTATTGTATCTTCCAGTAATGCATCACATGCCAGTAATTACAGTTTACTTCATTTCTCAATGTATTTATCACCTCGGATCAAATCTTTTATTTTCATTCATGTGTTGCTTGACAACTGCATTCTGAGTCGTTGGTTCATTCATGTTATACAAAATTTGTGAACAATTTTATGCAATTCCATGTGTATGTGTGCAACACCACATGTATATCTTTTACACTTATATTGCCATATTTATATAGCTCAACATTACATGCCATTATGACAGAAGCCTTAGACAGTCTGCCTACAATGTATGCATGATAATCGTAGCAACTGTTGTCAGTCAATAAATAGTTCAACTTACTCTCTCAGCTCCAAAAAATAAATAATTACCAGCAGAATTATGCTGAAAAGGAGTTTCTAGCTAAAATCCATTCACCCAGGACTAATATTTATGCTGACCATTTCAGCATTCATCAAAACACATTCAAACTAAATAAAATATTGTTGCGTCAGCGAGGTCACGTGACTAGTATCA